GCCAGTTATTGTTTTGGCTCGAAGTCAGGTCGCCGGATATGAATTTTTGAGGTTTACAGTAATGACGATGCTTGGGGGTATCATCGTTTCAGGCCAGGTCGTCGCGGAACGGGCCGTGGAACTTAACGAAGTAACGTTTCGACCTACGTTTTCTTTTGTAAGAGGGAGACGCCTCGAATTTTTCCCTTGACTCTCGATTTCCGACTCGATACTTATCGTCAGGGGAGGTCGCCTTTTTAACTTGAAATTCGGATTATCGAATATGTACCCCAAGGTTCGGCCTAAAAAATGATACTTGTAAGTATCATCGTTTCAGGCCAGGTCGTCGCGGAACGGGCCGTGGAACTTTACGAAGTAACGATTCGACCCCCGTTTTCCTTTGTAAGGGGGAGACGCCTTGAATTTTTCCATCGGCTCTCGACTTCCGACTCGCTGCCCCTCGCCAGGGGAAGTCGCTCTTCTGGCTCGAAATCGGGTCACCGGATATGTATTCGAAAGCCCGGCCTAATGGCGACGGGTGGGGCGGCGCGTTAGAAATTAACGCGGGGTGACAGGGAGGACCTCCATTGTCCGCGGACCCGCCGTCGAGCGCACCCCCTTCGGCTCCGAATGCGAAAAAATTCAGATGTGAAATTTTCATTTCCGTCGCGAGCCACCGACTCGGAAGAAATACTTCCTGGGGGGGCCGCCCGGGCCACCCCCGAGAGGGGCGCGCGCCCCACCCTGGCGACCGCCGGCCGCGGTCGCGGCCTCGGCGAGCGGCTTCCTCGGCTAACTCGATCCAGCGGTCGCCGGACGGCCGGCACGGGACCGCCGGAAGCTTTTATCGTTTTACAAGTTTACCGCGCCGACCCGGCCCGCCGTGATTCGATTGCGCGCCGCTCCTTCCGCCCCGACGGCGACGCGCGACCGGCTCCTTCCCTTCGAGAGGAAGGCGAGGTCGACGTCGAAATTCCGTCCGAACGACGAATCAAGTCGCTCGATCGTATCGAGAAGGGTCCGATTTTCGATCGACGGCGCTCGGCTTTTCTGTAGGTAAAAATCGAAGGGAGGAGAACGGGTCGAAAGAGATCGAAGAGAGAGAGAAGAGAGAGGAGGGAGAGAAGAGAGAGGAGGTAGAGAAGAGAACCGAGACAGAAGGGAGGGCGTGTTTGGTGTTTCCTATTCTATGGACGCTTGACCCATTGTCTCTGGGGTTTAATTTTTGCCCCTTGCCCGGAACTCCCTCCCTCTCCCTTTCTCTCTCGGTCTCTCCGCACGCACTCGGATCCTCCCACGTCATTGGGACTCGACTTTCCAGGGCATTCAGGCTCTCTCGCGACAATGCTTAGTCCTCGGTGTAGACGAGGAACTGCACAATGCGACAGCAATCACGAGCCGCGCCCCTGTCAGCGGGATGTTTTTTTCTCCTTATTCAGAACCCATGGAACACGTAGCTCAATGGGACCGGGATAGATAGGAGAGCTCCGCGGGAGTCAACCTTACGTGGACGAGGAGAGGAATCCCGGAATCAATGCCCGCTAAGAGATTGCTCGACGACGACGCCGGAGACCGTCTCCGGATACCCGGCCGCGCGACCCCGGAATTCATCCCGAAGCGACCCGAGATCACCGAAATTACTCCGCCAATGTGGAAACTCAATCTCCAACCCACCGGTCGGCGATGACCCTGGAAACGCCCCGCGGATGTTTCAGGATTCCTCCCTGCCAAAGAGCCACCGGGGTGTCAAAAACGAGGGGGCAACGTCGTAAAAGTATATCCCCCATTGTGTCGTCTCGTCCCGCGCGTTGCAGAGCCCACAGATTTTTAAGCGACGCGTTTCTTCTGCGACGGACGTCGCGGCACAACGTACGTTTTAGCGTAACGCTACTTTAAGCGCGGGTACATTACTTCAAATTTTCCCCGAGCTTTGAAAATATCTACGTTCGAGGTCTGTCGCAAACGTTAGGAACACGTTCGGGTTGATCTAGTCGAAATCGACGCACGTTGTAACGCACGTCGCACGCGGGTCTGGTACACTTTCAAGTCACACCTAACGGATACTATTCTTAAGACTCAGGTACCCGTGTGAGTACGCCCAACGCAACGGACGTTAAAACGAGCCCCAGCCTAAATCGGCAAGCGGAAACATCCCTTTCCAAATAAGGGGATCCAGCATCTCGTCCACGTGGGTGATCCCGTTTCCGGTCGTCTCTTCGGAGTCATTTTGGGACCTTTTCGACATCTGAACGGAGCCAATAGGTCGTCCAGCTCGCAGGAGGTCTCCGGAGGTCTCCCGGGTCTCTGGAGGTCCCCGGAGGTCCCCGGAGGACCATCCGGGCCAACTCGGGCCAAGAGGTGCACCAGGTCCCGTGGGAACGGGGCTTGGCGCACGCGCCGCTCTTCGGGGACGACTCGGGTTACGAGGCTCGGGAAGGCATCTGCACCGACTCGGGCCTCACGATGCGCCGACCCCGATGGATCCCGACAGAGTGTTTGCTCGTCGATGGATGCTTTGGTTAGGCGGGGGATGAACGGCAAACAGCGATCGGGTTTCCTGGGGGAGCCGGGCCTCCGCGCCTTCCTGGCGTCTCCTGTCGGATCGACCCGCCGCGTATCCAGTTCCCGCCGATGCGTCCTCGCGACGCCTGGACGCGAAAATCGCCCTTAAGTTTCCGTCACTTAAGGACCAAATTCCCGGGCTCGTCCCCGCTTGCCGATCGGCCTTGTTTAGAATTTGTTTAAAAAGTATGCCGAGCGGAGCATCACTCATCGTGATTTCCGCATACGCGCGAAGTAGCCGACGGGTTATGGAAATCTGATGGACATAAATATTTATCGATGGTTTATACATGGGGAAGCGCGCCGCCGGGTTGTCATGGTAGCGACGATTGACCATTTGCCAGGAGAACGATACGCGTTTTCCCCGTACCCTCGCAAATTGGAAGCGCTCGAGGAAAAAAGATCGGGTGTACAAACGTGTCGTGTTTCCTCGGTTCCGGTTGTAAAATAAAAATAGGAATAAAGGATATAATAGAATCCCGAAGCCGAGTAAACGTCCCCGATTCTCGGGGGCGGTGGAGCCCTCGGAAAGTTGCCCGAGGAGTTTTACCGGAAACGAGATTCAAAGTTTCGCGGCCACCGGGAGGAGCCGATCCTGCGGGATCCCTCGCGAATCCAGGCTTCTGGATCCTGGATCTTGGGATCCTTGCGTGTCCTCGGGTGGCCCGAAAACGAGGGCAACTCGGTTACCTGGGCGCGTTGACTGGCTAGTGGACCGCCACGGTCGGATCGATGCTCATCCACGTAAAAGGGTGGGTGGTTAGAGAGGAGCGAATGGTTAAGGGACGTTTCGCGGGGTGGCGGCAGTCGGGGGTTGTAATAAGCGTAATGGATATAGCGCCCCTGCAGGCATGCCCTCGTCCGCGTCCATTCATACGGCAAAGGGTTGCGATCACTGCGGGCGTTGCTCTTGTCGTTATTATTATTAATATCGTTATCGTTGCTCCGGCATGACCAACATTCGCGACGTCGCTCGTCGGAAATCCTCCTGGGTTACGATCGACGACGAACGAAAGATCAACAAAGAAGCAGCGTTGCACTTGTCGTTATCAATATTAATATCGTTCTCGTTACTCCGGCATGACCAACATTCGCGGTGTCGCTCGTCGGAAATCCCACTGGGTTACGATTGACGACAAACGGACGACCAACGAAAGATCAGAAGAAAATCAGCGTTGCACTTATCGTTATGAATATTAATATCGTTCTCGTTACTCCGGCATGACTAACATTCGCGACGTCGCTCGTCGGAAACCCTCCTGGGTTATGATCGACGACAATCAAAAGATCAACGAAAGATCAGCGAAAAATCAGCGTTGCACTTGTCGTTATCAATATTAATATCGTTATCGTTGCTCCGGCATGACCAACATTCCCGACGTCGCTCGTCGGAAACCCTCCTGGGTTACGATCGACGAAAAACGAAAGATCAACGAATAATCAGCGTTGCACTTGTCGTTATCAATATTAATATCGTTATCGTTGCTCCGTCATGACCAACATTCGCTACGTCGCTCGTCGGAAATCCTCCTGGGTTACGATCGACGACAAACGAAAGATCAACAAATAATCAGCGTTGCACTTGTCGTTATCAATATTAATATCGTTATCGTTGCTCCGGCATAACCAACATTCCCGACGTCGCTCGACGGAGACCCCCCTTATTTACGATCGATGATAAACGAAAGATTAACGAAAGATCAACGAAAGATCAACGAAAAATTAACGAAAGATCCACGATTCGTCTCCGGGTGCAGCATACGGTGTCCTCGCTCGATCTAAAGATAAACCGAGATTTTCCACGACGTCCCGCGGAGACACCCGGGTCCGATTCGGCGAGCCTCGGACGCCTCTCGCGTCGATTAATCGCGAGTCCCTCCAGGGAGACGCGCGATGAAATACGATTCGCATCTATTTATATTAGTGGTCGCTCTTGTCCTCGCGCGTACGTGAGAGCGCGTACAAAGTACGGGCCGCGTACGCGCGAGTACGCTCCTATGCCGCTACGCGTGATATATTATGCAGTCTCTAAGTGGAGGCTCTCTCTCTCTCACTTCCCTTCTTCTGCCCCCCTTGCGTTTCCCTCCCGCTTCTCTCTCGTTGGCGCTCCTCTCTTCCATCCCTCTCACCTTGGGCGGAGGAGCGGCGGCCGAAAGAGCGCGAGCGAGAAGGACGGGGAGTGACTCTCGAACGAGCAGCTGTATTAAGTGCGCCCATAGATTACGTCGGGGAAAAGTAGAGCCCGGCGCTAAAACGCCTCGGAAAAAATGACGCGATGGCGATCGTACGTCATGCGAGCGGTGCCGCGTGTTTTCGGGGGTCTCAGGCTCGAAAATGGCCCGCGGAATGGCGCGGGACCACCAACCCCGGCTCGATCCTTTTTTTTCCTCTTCGCCTTTACGGCGGCACGCTCGGAAAAGTGTGAAGGAAGTTCAAGGAATACCTCGTATCGGGTTTAATCGATACGAAGCATTATTTGGATCGATTCACCGATCGGCAGAAATGTCCGCTTTTAAACGAGTCGGGGGAGCGTCCAATTGGGGCACTGCGGCAATTCCGACGAGCCCCCGGTTTTATCTGGTCGAATTACCGATTCGAATAATAAAGCAGCATTTGCCGTTTCGCACGTGCGAGCGCATGTTTCCAACGGATACGTCCTATCGGGGAAAATTTTCCTGACAACCGGGAGCACAGTGAGTTAGTTATGCCGGACTGCTAAATCCCGTTTGCAAAGCGGGGATAAAGTTGCACGGGCACGATTGCCGGATCCGATAATTAAACCTGCCCCGTAATTTGCACCGATGCATAAATCGGGCCACGAAGGATCCGCGATGACCGGTGATAAAACGCTTTAACGCGACGATGGAAGCAGTTGCTGACCTACCGTCGGCCTCGGCCATTTTATTCTCGGTTACAGGGAACAATGATTCCATTGCGCATCTTAGGTATAGAAATATAAACGTAAGTCCAGTGCCGCCAGTTCTCGAGGCCGCAAGGGCTAGCGCGGAAAACGGATCGCGACCGGGGGCGCGTTTTACGGTCCCGGAAGTCCCCCAAGAATTTCGGCCCGATTTCGGCACGACTCGGCGCCGTGAGAGATTAGATTTCCCCGGCCTTTGTCTCCTTTTCCTTCTCCAAAGGAGCCGCAATTCCGCGGCGAGACCGCGAGGACTGTTTTCCACGCGAAAGCCCGCCCGTTATTTACGGTATTAAAATGTACGACCTCCTTCGGGCGGCGCGACAGTAACAGCGCGTAAAGATCCGCGAGAGGTGGAGGAAGCAAGGCAAATCGCGACCACGGCTCCCGGGATGGAAGACCGCGAGAAAGGCGCAACGGAAAGCACGTCACCGCTCGCCGTATTCTTTATACTGACTAGCTACTTTGCTCAAAGTGTTCCGAGGGTGACTATCTCTTATTCCTCCCGGTTCAAGCTTACACGCTAACTTCTAAGGAGATCCCTTGCCCGCTCCTCTCCTCTCCTCTCGTTCCCTCAGGTTTTACCATCGAGAGGGGAGGCGAAGAATAAATAATCTCCAGGGACCGATCGTCGAGCTCGAGCTAAGCGATAACGACGCGACTCCTTTAGGAATATATTAGTGCATCTTTGACGGCGCGTCTAAACGCTTAAGCGACTATGACTACCGATATAGAAAAATACCACGCTGCTCCGATCGCCGGGCGAATTTCTCGCGCGCTAACGAGCCGCCGCTAATTACTGGTAATAAAGTTACGGTGATATAATATAGGTACCTAACGTCCCGGCAGGTGCCGGGGGAGGTCGCTGAGATTTTCCTTTCGGCCGCACGTTTTGTAAAGAGACGGACGACGTGATTACTTAATCGTGGATCACGCGTTGGCAGGTGATAGCTTAAGATGCGCTCGTTACTTTCGCGAATATCTCGCCCGTGGGAACGAATGCATCGATCGTAGACGAACCTTTCCTCGATTCGTCCCGATTCTATATCTCGACCTTAACCCGATATCAAGACGTCTAGACGCGCGCCTTACATTAACTTTACACTTTATTATTCATTTTACCGTTCTCCTTTCCATTGAGCCATCGATCTACGGAATCGATCCGAGCGATCGCGTCCACTCTGTGCTTAACGTTAATCGATTACTCTTACGAATTACCGTGTTTGAGAGTTTTCGCTTAAGAACATCCAAAGGCTCGGTCAGAAGACAGCTTTCGCGCGAACGATCGGCACGATCGCAGATTCGAAGGCCGATTAACTAATTCTACAAGTATATTCGATTCTGGACGTAAATATTGGACTAAAGACCCTTCAAGACTTCTTGGAAGGAGGTGTACCGTCGAGAGTAGGTGCACGGTACGAGCGGAATAAATTTGTTTCCTCGTTTATTGCTTGCACCATATACTCGTGCCGTATCCATCCGTCTCTCTCTCTCTCTCTCTCTCCACCGCGCTTAAATAAATTATCTCGAGGTACCAGCCCTGAGATAATTTAATTATTACGCCAGGGCGACGCATTTAACGCGAATTCGGCTCGGCTTCCCATGAGAGGTCGTGCACGTACTCTCTTCGTTTTTATTGACTTTCTAACGCTTTGAAGTCAATCGATCAGGGAATACGAATAAGGAGAGTAGACCAACGGCTCTCGGAAGTAGCCAAGAAGTCTTTTAATCCCGATACTTAGCCGAACGTAAGGAAGTACTCTTCTCAGAAAACGTCGGTTTTACGGACTAGCACCGGTCGGGTCCTTCAGCAGCTGGACCAAGGGGTTCTGCTTACCTTCTTCCGAGCTCTTGTACACCTCCAGCAGCTGGAAAAATGTGGAATCGTGCCGTTAAACGTGTAATCGAATCGCTCTAGTACTTTCGGCCGAGTTTCTGCTCGTATATGCTCATGCGACAAAGCGTATCCGATGGAACCGATGGAAGCCTCGAATGAAGTCATTCGACAATGTGGATATATTCGGGGCCAATTTGCTCCCGTCAAAACTCACCTGATAGGACAGCTCGCAGGAGAGTACCGCCGTGGCTTCCGGGTTATTATAGGTAGCCACCAGCAGAGTCGGCAAAGTGTACACGGCCAATCGCGGGTCGCCGTAAAATGGGAACGGCAAAGTGCACAATTGTTGCAACACGCTGGGACCGGCCCCCGCGGACTGCAGAACCAACTGAAACGGACATTTTGGGCGGATGTTGAAAAAACAAAAGAAAGAGGAGAAACAACCGCCCGTGTCGTCACTCGTCTCTCCGGTAGAAATTTTAACCGACAACGAAACAACGAAGGGAAAAAAAACAAAAAAGAAATAAAAAGTAGAGTCCCGTGGGAACGAGCCGCTCCGAGACATCGAGTCCAGGTGGGACGGAAACGAGACGGCGACAAATAAATTCGAAGACGTCCCGACCCCACTTGCACCTGAGAGAACAAGTGCTCGATGTACTCCTGGGCACCTGCACGAAAATTTCACCTAATGCCCGCATAACCGAAGACGTCCTTACGACGTCCGACACGAAGCGTTTCCTTTAAACTCGCGACAAGGTGGATTACCAGGATGCTAGGCTCTAGGACCGGGAATTTTAATTACCCCGGGTAATCATCCATCCAATTTGAATACCCATGGCAGTACCACGTGCATTCGTGGGAATGGGAATTTCTCACCGAGAAATTTCCATTCCTTTTTCTCTAAACGAATCGAAATTTAACCCTCGGTTCATGTCGCGGTTATCGATCAACGTGGTTCCCGTTCGTGTCCCGGGTTCATTAAACAATGTTGAGACCGCGTACACGAGATTAATTTGTACCGGAATATCTACTGAACCTTCTAAATTAGGGAACATTCGCTTAGAGGAGGAAAAACGATATTTAGATAACTGATTAAACAAATGACGGGTATAAGAATCTTTGGGGATATTGCAGGTAACAGATTTCGGATGGACACGAGATTAATGTTCGACCTATTACCACGTTGTGTATTCATTGAATTATTTTAAAGTTATTAAAAATGCATCTCCGCCCATGGTTTCGGGGAAGGGGTCGGAGAAAAAAAAAAAGTGAAAATTGGAAAAGGCGCCTCCTCGGCGGCGCGGTCGGTCGGAACTCGTTCCGGGCGACTCGCACACTCGCGCGGCCCCCAGACGGACGGAACGGAACGGCGTAAATATACCTTAACGGCATTCGGCTGCATATTGATGGGAGGTCCGCTGAGTGTGTTGTGTCTAACAGCTTCTTCACTCAGCGGCCGGGCCATCGCGCGATGCGCGCCCCTGCATTACCTACCCGACTCTCGGCGGATTGCACGTGTCGCGGCCGCTCGAGTGCTTAAAAGTTCCCCCGACGAGGAGGCGCGGCCAAGGGGGGACACGTAAAGGGAGGAAAGGGAGAAAGACGGAGAGAAAGAGAGAGAGGGAGCCATCGGGCTCGTAGAGAGTGCCAGTTTAGCGCGGCCGGCCACTTCCATGTATCAACAAGTCTTTTTTTACCATCGGGGAGAAAAACCGCAGGGCTCGGGGCGAGCTTCCCTCGACGAGCCCGATTTGCGAGCTCTCTCCAACCGTCGACGAGTTCACTTTTTACCCCGGATTTTACGACGGGCCTGTCGTCGCTCTTCGGGGTTTCTCTCGCGGCCGCGATTCCCCGTATTTCGGCCCCAAATCCGAAGCCACTCGGGCAGAAGGAGGTTGTCTTCGCGGCCCTATAAGAGGCCCCGCGATACGCGTCATCGAATCAGGCCGATTTCAAAACTTGATCGAGTTGTTTTCATTAATTAACTTCCCGAATTCATCATTCCGGGGCCCTCGGAGTGTCGGCTTTGCATATAGACGAGATTTTTCGCCCGGGCAAACAATGGCGGCGCGCCGTCTCTCGATGCTCGATCCCGATGCAGAAAGCGCCCCTCGGACCGCGGCACTCTGGAATCCCCGAAAACCGCCTCAAAACGGAAAGACACAAAAGGACGCCTCCGAAACCCCGTTTTTTCGACCCGGCGACCACGCGAAATCCCCACCCTCCGCTGGTCACATTTGTCGCGTGGAGAAAAATCCGCATCCAGCCCGTGCGAAATAAAACGACATGAAAATAATAAGATATAGATAAATAAACAACATGAAAATAATAAGATAATAATCACAGATAGGCAAGGAAAAGAAACTCCAGCTTTTCCTGGGCGTTCCGTTCGTCGAAGTTGTTCCGACTTCAACCTTGAAACTTGTTCCATTCGAGAGCAATACTTCATATTTTTTCCCGGCAGCGTCGTACGACGGAGAAAATAAGAGGAAGCAGCAGATTTCAATTCACCGTTGAAAGAATGAAAAATCAGCCCGACGTATGTCCGAGTTCGGGGATGTTGAACATTCCTTGAAAACTGGCCAATTTAGCGCGGTTTTTTTCAAGGGGGTCTACTTTTCCGCCGCCACGTCGGATCTGGTGCCTTCCCCGAAATTGTCCGAAGTCGTCCCGGACTTATCGGAGCGTCCGACCGCGCGACGCCTCACGGGGCCCATCTCGACGCATTTCTCGGAGATACCGGGGCGAAGAGGGCCGAAATCGGGCGCACACGAGGACGAGGCGCAGCAGGCACGCGAGTTATGCGGCGATATCGGAGGAACGCGCCGGGACCCTTCAGATTAGACCACACGGAGGCGCGGGCAGTCCGGGCCTTATTGGGCCGTATTGGTCGTCCAGGCCCATCTTTCACGGCCTTCGAGAGCCACCGAGCCTAATGGCTGACGTGCCTAATTTCCTCGGCTTTGACCACCGCGTCCGAGGACGTTCCTCCGATAAGTTGGCAGCCCCGCATCGGAATCGAGCCCGAGGACTAGTTAGGGTTTATCGGCAACGCGATTCCGCGGGATAAATCACCGCCGGTTACCTTTCTCATTTACGATTTGAGTACCTCCGAGTTATCGGCGAAGGCCCCCTCGAGGAAGGGATTAGAGGACTATTTTTTAGAAGCAGTCCTCTCAGGGAAAGAGGGTATCAATGATGGATCGAAGGAGTACCGCCCAAGGATTATGATCCAGTTCTGGTCCAGCGAGACCGGTACGGGGAGCTCGACGACGCGGCGTCTTACCTGGTTCTCCGGATTGTTGACGGCGAAGTAACCGAGCACCGTGAAGAGTTCCGCCAGAATGTGCGGACCGCTCGCCCCGGGCGGACTGCCAGCCTCCGATTTGTCCGATAGAGAGTCACGTGACAATCGGGTTATCAGATGGCTCGCTATAAGGCGCCACTGCAGACTCGTGCTCTCGGCTCCGAGGTGACTCTGCAACCGAGAAGGATACCGGCATTTAATTCTCCATCGGTTTCTGGGTTCGCCCTCGAGGGCCCTTTGGTTCGCGGAACGGCACGGTTCTCGGTCTCGCGTGGGAAGGCAAAGGGAATGGATAATAACCGTCGGTTTTTCGGCAAATGCGTCCCGGTCGAGCCGGGATAATCGAGCGACCTCCCGAGGGACGTCGGAGTCCTCGGGGGGCCACCGTGCAGCTCTTATGGGGCTTACGAGGGGCGCGAGGTGGCGCCCCGATTGAATTCGTGGTTTCCTCGCAGCGGACACCGCGCGGGGGGCCGATGGACCCCCTCTCGTGGCTACGAGATATCTCCATCATACCCGATATGCCCGATGGCTAATGGAGCCCCCGATCTCACGCACTTGCCCGATATCTCGTCCCGGGGGACGCGCTCGTTAAACACTCGTTCTTCGATCCTAGCATCTCGCTGGCGCTTCGGACGAAATTCTCCTCGATCTCTCGTATAAATAACGACACTCGCCAGAAATAAAAGTCCCGGAGAGTAGGCCGATTTTTCGGAAGAAAAACGAGCAAGGCGAACGGCCTTCCTCCCTATCCTCAAGATCCCCGAAGGGGACCTCGGCTCGTTAAACCCCGAGCAGGAGAAAGTAATGGGTGCATTCTGTAGAGCAACGGAGGCGCCAACACGTTGAGACCCGAGAGTGAGTAATCAACCCGGACGTCTTGCCGAAAGGGTTGGGTCGGAGAAAGAGGAGCGCCAACCCTCTGATCGACCCTAATTACTTGATCGCATTACGCCAGCGAATGCGTCGTCTACTCGGGTGCAAAGTAACCCCCTCCGGCGAGTTACGCGCAACCTCGTGACTCGGAGAGGAGCCGCACCTGAAATTTCTCCAGATCCATTTCCGCGAACAATCGAAGGAGTTTGAGCCCCCTCATGGCGAGGACTCTCCCGGAGGCAGAGGGTCCAGCTTGGTTGGGGGTCGGCGAAGACCCCTTCTGGTTTTGCGAGGTCAAAGCCAAAGCAGCGTAGAGGGCCCCAACGGCGCCGGCGCTCTCGGACGTCGCCAAGCCATTCAATAGATGCGACGAGGCGGTGGTTTGCTCGGCGATATTATTTTCAGAATGATTAACGTTCTCCAGGTTGCATCGCTTCAGGTGACAGCAGAGGCGCGCCAACAGGTCGAAAGATGCCGTCAGAAGGGACGACTCCCGTTCTTGCTCCAGGAAGAAATCCGTCTCGACGAGGGCTCGACCGTGGCGCGACACCCGCTCCAGCAGTCCCCCGATGACCAAGTACCTGTAAAAATAATAAAAAAAAAAGGACATTAAACAACGAAACCCATAATCTCGTCTTCCTCGATTTAACTACTATTTGCAACCGGCTTAGCTATCAGGTTGTGGTTTCTGGGGCGGACTATACGCGGCAATGATTGCCGCTCGATTTTCTCTCGACGGCTGCCAAGTGCGCGTCCACGAGGGGAGAAAAAACTATTGCTTACAGGACGGCATGTGTGACGGCGTAACACGAGAGGATTATAACATCAGTGGGTAATTCTGCGTAGAGAAAGAGAGGCGGCGAGGAAGGGAGAAGGAAGGCGAAACCCCCTCCCACTGGGCCCCCCGTGACGCGATGCTCATTCTATTGGGTTGTTGTATATGTTTTCTTTTTCAACCCCCTTTCGCTCTCGGCGACCGACCCCGGCCCGACCCCGGCTCGAGGGTGCGTACTGTCAGTGCGTATTATCGCCGCCCCGTGCGTGCGCCTCCGTGTTGCGCGTTGCGTACGCCGGGCCGTATACATAATGCGATATCGAGCACGAATGCACCCGGGCCGGTAGGTGTTGGTGGAGGCCAACTGTCGCGTCTAATCATAACTAGCTGGAAGCTAATCCCACGATACTCTCCCTCACCTACGCGTGCATCGCCCCTGACGTTAATAGAAAAATTCCCTCCCCTGGCGGAGTCGCGCGTGCGCTCCCCTCTCTTTCTCTCTCCATACTCTTTTCTTTTTCCTCCATGAATTTTCGGTAAACATTCCTCCGCCACTCGTAATCGATTTGCCTCCCGCGGAGGGAATTACTTCGAAAGATCATTAGATACAAAGAAACTGTCATAACGCGACATCGTTACTTATCCCCGTAATTATGAAAGTGGTCCAAGCAATTTTTTTGTTGAGGAACTGACTTAGCGTTATGTAAATATATGCAACGCAGAATATGGGTAAAATTAGTTTTTTCTTTTTATTTTATTTTTATTTTTTTTTATTAAAACCACTTTCATAATTACGAGCTATGTTGTTCTTTACGATAATTCGGCTCGCAGGGGTGGATCAAGTCACAGGTGGTGAATGAAAAGTCGAGGGAACGCTCGGATCGATTTTAGAACGGAGCGCGAAGGTGATGGAGGAGTAGGAATCAATTTGACAAGGAAGACGATTGAAACGAGGTTTTATCGGGGGTGGCGCGGAACTCGGATCGCGCATTCCTTTCGAGAGGGTCCACCTGCGGCGAGATTCGCACACGCCTAATTTAGCCCCCGCTGTATAATAAAGTGATAATCGCCGTGTGTAAATAGTCGCCCTAAGCCGGGATTTACGTCCTTGTGCGCCTCGGAGGGGCGAAGTCCGATGATCGAGGACGATCGATCGGCGCCCGGTACTCGCGACAATGGCCGGGGATTAAATAAATTCGCTAATAAAATGCGGCGGGATGCGCGTGCAGGGCGGCGGGCTTATAGCTCGCCTAGAGTCGTGGAGAGCTCCTCTCCTCTGTGGGATATAAGATTACAAGCGTCGCCCCCGTATCGTATAATAACATGAATAATATCCGAGGGGGACGCGCACTGTCATTCGCGGTAATATTCCGTCCTCGACCCGCAGGAAAAGAAGGATCTCTCTTCCGTTCAATGGACCGCGTCGCTCGTTCTGCCCTCCGCAGGAAGCGCTCCTGATATGTGGCCGACAAATTCCTTGGAAAACTGCCCGATTCCCCTGTCGCCGCGAAATAAACGTTATCGGGGATTGCGGAAACTGGCGGAGATATCGAGACAGCGAGAAGTTTGCCGAAGGATCCATCCGATGTCTTCCCTTAATCGATTGCCCCTTCGCGAGTCTCGATGAAAGTCGCCAGAGGAATACAAAGGAGCCGGCTCGGTGAGCTAACCCTGATACCCGGGGAACCTAATCGGCACCGTCCACCTCCGGTTCCTCTTAACCTTTCCGGTGCGAAGTCGCGCACCCTGTCGAGGAACCCTCGTCGGCGCGCGTAAAGATATGCACCCCTACGGGGCACTATGAAATAATCATATGGTTAGCTAATGGCGGCCCGGGGGTAGTGATTGCCAGTCCGGGCGTGGCGTCCCCTCCGCTCTGGGGGGCGCGGGAACGGAGTAATAAATAAATTCAATGTATTTGCTCGAACCCCCGCAAACATTCAATGATAGATCGCAATCTCGGGGCGATGATGCCCCGCGTGTTCGGACGTGCGTGAAGATCGAATCGGACTTCCTGCCCGCTCGGCCGCCCCGAAGAGTGGCGCGTCCTGACCGCCTCACGAAAATTACTCTCTCTCTCTCCCCCCCATTCCACGCAGTTACGCTAAGTCAAATGAATTGCGAGATGTGGTACGTCTCCGATATTTCTTGACATCCTGAAGACCACGCGGATGCACGGATTCGCAAGGCGTTAAAGTGACGGCAAGATTCGAAGCGCGTCTTAACTACTCCACAAAAATCATTCTCTCCTTCCGTATTGTTAAGTTAAGTCTAATTAATTGTGATACGTAATTCGACTTCGATACTCCTTGAAATACTGAACTCAAAAACTGCAATCGCGTGGATTTGCAAATCAAGGCGTGAAAGCGACAGCGAGATTCGAAGCGCGTCTCAACCGCCCCATGAAAATCACTCTCAATCCATATCGTTACGCCAAGTCAAATGAATCGAGAAACATAGTCTTTCCTCGCCTCCCCTTGGCATTACTCGGCCAGAACCGCGATGTCTCGTGGATTCGCGATCCGAGGCGTGAAAGTGACAGCGAGATCCGAAGCGCGGCCACTTGGAGAACGGCATTCTCTCCTGGCTCTCCGCGTCTCGATATCGATTGTGCCAACGAGGCTCACAGTGGGTACGACTCGCCGCCCCGACGGCGGCACACTTGTTACAATATTTACAGACTCGTCCCTGGATCCACCCCTAAAACCTACCCCCCGCCTGCCACTGACAAGTGTCTCTCCTGTCCCCAAAATTTCGCCATCCCGCTCCCCGCCGCGCGGATACGCTCCTCGGCTCACAATTGCGGAAGTGGTGAGGAAGGGAAAATCATTAACGAAAAAAGATCTACACGGAAACCTACTCAGAATTCCGCGGTGCTTTTTTAACCGCTCCCGGCAGGAAGGGGGCTGCCGCCGAGCGCCATCTTTCCCCCCATTTCGCTTCGCTTCGCGCTACTAGCCGCTACGTCCAAGTAATTATTCTTCAATGCTTCATGCCCGAAAATGAGCGGGGCTAATCCCGTCCCGGGCTATTCGGTACCGAGAACTCGAAACTCGTTTCTCGACGTTCGGCGTTACTTAATTTTATCGGGACCGCGGGTGGACCGATAGCGACGGAATTATTACTTCGCCGCTAATGACCCCTCGTCGTCGATACGACGCCGCGGAAACGTATTTTGAAAAAAAAAAAAAGTTATTACCGAGGCCATAAATACCGTTGCGGTGCCGTCTTTAAAAGCCGGCCTCTCTCTCGCGCGCTCGCGGCTGGCGGGACAAAAAGAAAAAAAAACACGCGAAATGTCGCGTGCTTTTTTTTTATCCCGCCAAATAGGCTCGTACGATAAATCCGAGTATTCGTATTCCCGAGGTTCAACGTACGCTTCGGGCGGATATTAAAGCCCGCGAAAACGGCGACTCTTTTAATTGTGCTCGCGGGAGAGGCTCTCGCGAGGCGAAAGAGAACTTTGGGTATAAAACAAGGCCACATGGGCGAGGGCTTCGCCGAATTGGTAATGTATTATAATCCCGAACTCTAACATCCAGCAACTCAGGATATTGCTACTCCGGGCTCGTTGACGCGTAATGCATTCACGCCGGGATTTCGGCGACCTGCGGGGTTGGTAGACCCAGGGGTGACTGCACGCCATGGGGAACGGAGGCGGGAAGGAACCTCTCGTATAAACGCGACCGAGCTGGATTTGCGCCTCCAAGTCCGATGAAAATTAATCCCCGTCTTTTACCCGTGGAGGCACTTGTACGAGCCATGGCGATTACCGGGAGTGTAGGAATTAAATCATTGCCGATCACCTATCGACCGTCGATGTCCGAGGTTCTGCCTAATCTCTGCAGGGGGTCCCAGCCGGTCCGACTCCGATACCGCGTGCTACCCGGCATAATAGAGAATAGCGAAGTTTAATACTCGGCACGGTGGGAACGCGAACAGCCGGACGTACTTCTACGCAGAATCCGGCAGCCTGATCAAACACTCTCCGTTTCAGCCGAACGACTGTCATTCCTTCTGCTCCTCTTCCCGTTGCCACTGTCTCTCTCTCTCTCTTTTTGGTCGTTCATCCGCGATACGTCTTTCCACCTACGATCCGCGTATCGCTAGATAACGTGCGATCTTTAATCAACGTTTATTCTTTCCGATCTTCGCGGGCTTCGATCTTACCTAACTCTCTTTCTAGCTGAGACGGAATATATAAAAATAAAAATGTAAAGTTAGAAGGCCCCCCCCGACGTGCAGGAGGAACAAGGTGGTCGAAGGAGCATCCTTCCGTTATGCCCCGACAAAGGGATGAGCGCTCATACGGAATGAATCACTGCCCAACACCGGGCGGACTAAGCCAGCTGACGTTTAAAGAGCATCTGCCACCTAATTTCGGGTCTGGCTGTAGGAAGATCGGCACTTACATCGATACTTACATTCCTATTACATGGCTCGCGATACTTCCCTAGAAGTCACCCCTTTCCGATCACGGTTCGACTTTCGACTCGTCTCTCGTAATCTCCGTAATCGTAAGGACGATAAAATCTAAAAAAATCGACTCGTGGACGTCACGGCTCGAAGTGAAACTTCTAACAATAAGCTAAAGACAATCCTTAGATGTTATGAATTATTCTTAATTATTGTTTCACGAAATAACCCTTCGGTACTGGTATCGGGCATCATTGTTTCTATTCATTTGTATTATTTTCATTTCACTTTAAACGTCTACAATCGATTGAGAGTCTCGATATTAACGAAGTGAAACTTCTAACAATAAGTTAAAGACAATCCTTAGATGTTATGAATTATTCTTAATTATTGTTTCACGAAATAACCCTTCGGTACTGGTATCGGGCCTCATTGTTTCTATTCATTTGTATTATTTTCATTTCACTTTAAACGTCTACAATCAATCGAGAGTCTCGATATTAACGCCCAAGGATGAATATAAATTGTAAGTGTCTCTAAATGTAAATAAAACTCCCAGTTATGTCCACACTAAACCGTACAGATGAATAAAACTAGTAATTGTCGAAAAAAGAAGACCCGGGATGAGATCCCAGGAATAACGAGCGGCGATTTGAATGCCAACTTCGCCAAGCTACACATCCGCCGAATGACTAGTTAAACAAATTAAAATGAATAACACTAACGAATACGTATAAACAAAATTTGTTCGTGCTGAAATACAAAGATGAATGTAAATAGTAACTCGCTACAAAAAAAAATCGTTTCCTTTTTCCGATCGAATCTGCTTTATAACGTGCGAACTCACACCTACCTCCTATCTTCTCATGGAAATTGCCCTTAGAAAAAATATAAATTACATTTCTGTAACACAATTCGCGATACTTCGCAACGAGCCGCCTCTTTCGGCCACGTTTGCGGTTCAACTCTCGTTCCTCGTACTTAATCTACGTACTGGTAAGAAAGATAAGACGAGGAAAGGTAAGGATCGTGCGTAGCCACGGTATGCGTCGCGCCTCGCACAACCATCGAGAGGAGCAGACGAAGGGAGGACGGGGTATGGGGCGAGGGGCGAATTCGGCTGGAGAGAGTCCATTAGCAGATTACGTACCCACCCGCTTCGCTCATTCACCCCCGCGATATTTTTTCTTCCCTGCCGCCTTCCCTCCCCCAGGGTTCCCTCTGCACCCTCTTCGGCCTCACTTAGGCACCCTTGGTGCGTACTTCGGCCCATCTTTGCTCGACCAACGCGAGCGTTTCGCGCCGTTGCGTAGACCCTGGTCGCGTTGCGTATATCCGGGTCGATCCGCGACGAATCGGCCTCGATCCTTCCCCGGTGCGATGCGTTTTCCCAGCCGCGTTGTCCGCCCCAACTCGAGGTCCCCCGAGAGGGAAATCATTTCTGCTCGCCGGACACCGCCGATCGGTGGTACATTTCCCTAACGCTCCCCGGGGTCCTGAAATCCCGAGGCCCACTGACTATCCGGGGCCGAAAAGTGAAAACGGGAAAACGCGCTCCCCCACAGGAGGGACGAAACCTTCGGATCAAACGGCGGCGACGTTATTAATAAAATAGATTTGCGCTCCTTCAAAGAGAGGAGCGTCATCTCGCAGTAACCTCGTTTCGCCCGGCTCTGATTTAATCACGCACGCGACTAAAGAGAAGCCCTTTCATTTCCGTAATAAGCCATGGCAAGCAAAGTGCACCAGCCTGTCCGCTCTGACGGTATATTCGGTACGTCGACGGAGGCGCGGCTCGGGAGCACCGATACCGAGACGGAAAGCGAGACTCTTCGGTCCAGGGAGAGGAAAATCAGGATAAGAGTCGTCCCGTCTCTCCGCGTAATTTTCAGGAGGGCGCTTTCTCTACCACGCGATAACTATCGAGTTATCAGCCTCGAGTTCTACTTCGCGCCGATACGACACCCCGCATTTAATTGAATCGCGAACAAACGAAACGGCACGCGCATCTCCTGTCCCCCGTTAAATATGATTCTCGGTAATTTTTCAATTAATCGGAGCGACGAATCGAGTCTGCGCCCCCGACGAGTCGGCCCAACGTTTCCCTCGCGTTAATGCGTAAACAATTCGCCAATCGCTCGTCTGATCTAGGCGAGATTAAAATGTTTGTCACCCTCGCCCCGGAGAACGGGGATGAGTCCACGTTTCGCGTCTTCGATGGCATTCGCAGGGATTAACGCAGTTTACCCAGTGACTTTTTCCATGGTTTCCACCCCGGCCAATTATCTTCGCGAATGCCTCCTGAGCCCAGATTACCAATGCCCCGATGAATCTCGAATCGACGAGCGATCACCCATCTAAGGTCCTCGAGGCAACTCGATCGCCCCAGAAATCGCTCCGGAAAGTGCCCTCCACCCGCGAGTTTTCTTTCCTTCCTGCTCGATCGATTGCCGGAAAGTCGTCGGAAAGTTCGTGGAATTAATATCGCGGGGGGCTCAGGGAGTCCCGGGAGATCTCTACGAGTTCTCGCTGGAAATCGAGTAATTCGACGACCTAGACGAGCGACGTTCTCGCTGATCGATCAACACCATCGACCTTCCGATGGGATATAATCTATACATACACGGGTATACATCGCGCCCCGTTCGCGACAGCAGGCGATGAGTAAAAAGCGTGACTCGGTATTTCTCTCTCTCTCTCTTTTTTTTTTTTCACAGGCAGGAAATTAATCATAATTTTCCTAATGCCCGGCGCGGTTCGTCGACACCCTACGGGGCCGAAACGAAACTTGTCATGCAAAACGCCCGGCATTGTGGACTTATCGCAGGATCGTCGCGCCTCGTTTCACCTGGCTCGAAAACCTCGGAGAACCGTGCTGCTCGGGGAAATACGGCACGACTAGATTTCTCTGATCAAAGGAGTGGTGAGGAAAGAAAAAAAAAGAAATAGAAAAGAAGGAAAACTCGGTGACCCACTCTCGTCGCGCGAGCGACGCGTGTCCGGAGTTCGGGGTAAGATTTTTCACCTACGCAAACATACGGAGGGAAACGGTGAAACCGGAACCGAAACCAAAGGGTTGTCCCGCGTTTTGGGAGGTCCGCGAGGAGGAAGTTGATCCAGATGTCTCCTGTCTAGCCTTCGGGGATCGAGGCTGTGTCGATGCAACGAAAACAGATTCTCCTCGTGTCGTGCCAGTCGAAGAACCGCGAAGAATCGCGTATGGTGGTGAGGAGTTTCGCACAAGGGTAGTCCAAGTTCGAGTACGAGATGAAAGTTAGAATCGAATTCCACGGTGAAATCAACGTTTGACAAGCCGGAGCCGAATTCTACCCTCCGCACTCGTAAAAGTGTTTATCCGCACCGTAAACGTCACTTCACGGTTTCTCCGATCCCAAAAAAAAAAAAAAAACGGATTTAAAAGCTTCAAAGCACTTAAAACTTAATGTCAATATTTCGCAGAGCGCCGTATCATCGTATGTCGCGATTGCATCGTTTCGCGCACGATCGATGATGCATTTTCTTGTATTTTAACATTTTGTCCAGTTCGTCAAATCGTGCGTCGAAGCGTTTGGGTATATATCGTGGGGTGCAAACATGACGACCTCGAGGGGGTCTTTGGTGCTTTCGGTAGACATCGGCAAGACTTACCCCACGATGTCCTGCAGGCGATTCTGAAGTGCGGCCTTCTCGAAGGGTACTTCAGGAACGAGGGAGCAGAGTAACTGCATCGCCGCTGCGGCCGCGGATCCGTTTCCGGTCGCATTGTTAGACGTTTCCTGGGCTTGAGTGTGATCGTCAAGAGCGGTGACGGCCTGAATGGAGAGTAAAGTTAAAGACTGGCAAAGAGATAAATGTCGTAGGAAAACTTTGACTCCCGCACGTGGCGCAAGGATCCTCTCCCCGATTGTCCCCCGACAATCGGTACCTCGAAACATGTATGAATCAGATAATTTCACCGTTAAACTGTACAGGCTAAGATCGGCGCTACTAACCTCGTACTCTAGCCATGTAAAAGAAATATATTTCAGAAGAGTAGAAAAATCCCCCATCGCCGATCTCGCTCCACGAGTTAACCCTAACTTCCAAGGGGTATACTTCCTGGTGCATATTTTCCCTTGCGTGTCTTCGATAGCAGGGTAAAGTACCGAGATTTTGCGACTCCTACTGAAACTACCCGCCGTCATAATGTTATCTAACCATTTATTGTTCACTTTGAACCTGTAACCTCCTTAAAATATTAATTCATATCCTTGGATACGTCGGGAGGTCTAGGTACGCACAATCTCTTGGAGTTCCGGCGTTAAAGTACGGCCGGTAAGTAAGAGGGCGAATAAACATTGCTTTTACGACCAATCGGATGCGACCCCCTTTCCAGTCCCCGCTACGTAACTCCGAAAAGTAGCGCAGAACTGTAATGTCGGTAACTTCCCTTACATGGGAATTCCGGGCAAACGGGAACGGAGTATTCGCTCGCGGGCGGCGAATTCCCCCGATTTCTCTGAATTTCTCTCCCGTTTCGCCGGTCCACCACGGAGGTTTTTTACGGCTCGACGAGACAAGGACCAGTCCCGCACCCTCCCAGATCACGGTCGCGTACGGCCCGACCAATGAAACCAGTTAAGGCTCTCCTCGGCAGTTTCCTCCGGCATACGCGAAATTCTAAACTCGTCCGCCGAGATTGGAAACCATTCGCGGCGTAATTCGTCTTCCTAACTAATGGCCCGAGCGTCGTTCCGCCCTTCGGACTGCGAGCACCGGCAAAGGGGATGCGAACCGCGAACCGTCGACCCCGAAAAATAGTCGATATGCGAAGGATCGACGACGCAGCGCATTCAAGAGCTTCGCTCCCCCCCCCCCCGCCCTTCACCTTCCAAAGTCGCGGCAGTCCACTTCCGATCGGTCCATTTCTCGCGAGATATCGACCGACGACTAGCATACGCGCGTCCCGCGACCCGAGGATAATCGGTGCCGTCCCGGTGGCGCGATTACCGCGACTCCTCGCGTGCGAACGAGTCGTCGGAAGCGTTTCGCGAACGAGACAAAAGATTACCCCGGTCCGTTCTCGAGGAGTCCTCGAGGCGGCGCGGCCGGCAGGGCGCTCCCTCTCTCTCTGGCGCCCGTACAACGCCGCGCTCCGTCCTCCTCGCGCTCGCTCGGCCCGAGGATCCTAGTGCCGCGTGACGTCACTAAAAGCTCTCTCGCCACTAATGCATTTGCGAGGGGGGAATCAGGGGGCCCAGTGCCGTACCCGCTAAGTAAGGGAGGGCGCGACCCCGCGACGCGGCGCGCCCGCGAACCCCGGCGCCGATCTTCGCCCTTCCGCACAAAGGAGGAACCTCGAAATTCGACCAGGGTGGCAGCCTCGATATGCCGACCATCGCTTTAAACCTCCATCGAGGGACTTTTTAACCCGTCTTTGGAACTACAGGACGTAGAGTCTTGGTCACCAATACTGTCAAGGAACGACCGACTAACCGACGTCTTGTCATTTTCGCGATACCAAAATCAAGATTAAAATCACCATGGTTTTGGTCCTGCATTTCCTCACAATATGTTATAATGAAATTGCATAGGTTTAGTTTCATTATTAATTAATTGAAATGATATATTTCTACTCGCTCGTCCGACGAGGTTCCGTTGACGGTAAGAAATATACATTTTTGGCTTGTTCCCGAATGGCGACATCGTTCAACGGAGGGTTGACATCCACCCTGAAACTCCTTGACGCCTTTTCGACTCATTTCTAGGCCCGTCTGGCCCCACTCCGCCATTAAAGTGATACGAGTACCGCGTGCGCCACTTCGTCATCGGCTGTCAAAAATTCTGATTCGCGCGTCAGCGGCCGGACCTCGTTGCCCGTGACAAAAATTCCGGTGGACTATTTCTAGCTGCCCGTGCTCGTTCCCTTTCCCTCGGGGAAAATCCGCTGCTCGACGAATGCGACGTCGTTCGTCTCTTTTGTAGCGAATCCGGAACCACCACGTGTACGTCTATGACGGTAAATGCTTTCGCGACATAGGGAGGTTTTTCCCCTCGACAAAATAAATACATCCATGGGATTATATTGATTAAGAACTCCTGGGTATATAATATAATATCGAATATCGCATTCATCGGGTGTCCACGTCGATCACGCTTGCTCCAACCGAGCGTGTCAAGCTTCAGCCTTGAAAATCTCGATTTTCTACCGACTTTCTCGCGAGCGGCATCGCTCATTGACTGTTTAACCTCGCCCGAAGCGTCCGAAACCTCCGTCCGTGGTTTGGCAGAATTTCGAATGAGATTTCACGGTTAATGGTCCCGGCGATCGAGAGCGCAAAAAACGGTAGAAAAAGGAGAATGATTATTCACGAGAGAGCTCAAACTTTGGAGACGATGCCTAGTCCGGGTGTTTTCTCTCCCCGCGGCTTGAGTACACGAAGAGGAGACCATTAGAGGTCTCGGCCCTCTCGCTTCCACGTATTCCCGATTTTCTACGATCGCGCGCTAGAGAAACGCGACGTCCTGCGAAATGGACACAAGGAACATCGCGAAAGAGGGAGCAAGCACGAGGAGGTGTAGCATCGTCGCGTGTGGTACAAATGGTCGTAGACCGAAGGTGGGACTGCACGATCGGCGATTCGAATTCCGATCTTGCCTGCCTGGTAAGATTGAATTCCGTGACAGGCTCGGCTCGGTGGACCATAAGAAGTCTAATCCTTATTTTGACAGGGGGACCGGGACAGGCAGCTTGACAGCGAGACCGGCGTCTTAAGTACCCACGCCTCGCTTTTAGCTCGGGACTCCTCCGGTGCAAAGGGAGCAAAATAATCGTATTAAGCGCGTAGTCGCGTCCGCGATATGTTATACGTACTTATTTTCTGTGTATGCATCATCCCACATTGTGTGTACATCGGCGCGCGATTTAAGCTGGCGATCGCGTGCGGCTCGCGAGCCTCAGTAACGGTCCATCGTTAATCTCTCGTTATTCCTTTCGCCACGCGGCCTTTTTCCAAATCCCACGACCGCCGAATTAGAAAATAATCTACCGATCCGCCGTCGGGCTGCCACGTAAGACCGGGGAGCGAGAAAAAAGGAGAATCTCCGATAGAAGCGCCGTTCTACCCGACTCGCGTATTTCTCTTACCGCGTTACTAGGTCCTATCGTTACGGTGCATCCAAGATGCGGATGGCGTGCCCACGCGTGGCGATTCTTTCCAGGATCAATTTGCGACATCTATTTTATATAACCCGGAGCGTAATCGTGGAATCAAGAGAGCCGTTATCTCTTCTGTCTTCTTTTCATGGCTATGGAATTTCCTTTGTTCCGAAGCTGGACTAGAAGTATAGAGCGTTACATGCTCGGCTCTGTGGCTGGGAGAGATAATGTAGTTTCCTCGGAGTAAAACTAGGAAAAATCGCAGTTGGAAATTTCTCGGTACTCTCGAGCAAACTAGATTAAATCACGCGCAAGGTGAATCTGGGACAGTCAAGTTTTGCATTCGATTACCGACTCGATTGCTATTCCTTCTAATTACGTCACGGTCTACCTTGTACTCCGGTGAAGTATGGAAAATAAATGGGATTGCCCGCAATAGTATAAATAAAAAAACGTGCTTTTGTTCGCCATCGCACGTATAGTGGATACTCATGGACGGTTGTATCGCTTCTATTGACTTCTACTTATGATCAACTTGGACAAGGGTTGAACCACTGCTGGGTCAATCGTACAATTGACTGGTCTGGTCAAGCTCGCATGTCATTGGACAATGAGAACATGACTTCGTATCGGCCTTTCGGCCGATCGCACCTGGAGGGTGAGCCTCCTTATCGGTCCCCCCATTGCTGGGGGGTTGCAAGGACAATGAGAGCAGTATGAAAAAACGACAATTTATATTCAACGAGAATTTGACTTCGGCTCTCTTCCGGGATAATTCACGCGCGAAGTAACTCGTGGCGCCATCTGACGTGAACAGCTGAAGATATATTTTTACTAAATTACAAAAATTCCCCCAATAAGTAAATAAATAATTTCTGACCTAGATATATGCTAAAATATCATATGGCTCTTTGGATTAATTTTCAAAAATATTATTTAAGATAACATCATGGAACTCGTATGGTAAAACTGCACGGCTCAGATGTAACAAGCATTAACCAATAGATAGCAGCACATGTACTTGAATATACATATATATAATGGACGAAACCTACCTCAAAACGATGCAGCAATACATCCAGAATCACCAAGATCTTATTGCTCATTAATACTGCCTCGATGTTGTTACTGTGATCTTCAACGCTGGATTTATAGACTCGGCAAAGGCTGACAATGCTCCTGAAAAGTAACGGATCGATCACAACTTATTATCCGTGTCTACATATAACTTACTTTCTGTTAATTCTGAAAAACTTTATCCTAAATTAATATTATTGCATATAAGCAGAATACTCACTTATTCGGCAGAGAAGGATTTCCGTTTTGAGTGTTCAGTACTAAGTTCAATAAATTAGTCAACGTATCGAATCCGTTCAGTGATCGAAAGGCATCCTGATCCGAGTGACTCTGCAATTAATTTCAATGTTCGTTCTTTATTTCTTCGTAATCCCTTGTGACGGAAATAAAAGTACTTCTGGGCATAAAAAATTATACGTACGGATTTGCAAAACGCTCTTGCGATCTCTCCCAGACATCGTTCCAAGCTGGATGTAGCAACACTTGTCCATGCAGTTTTAGCGTGAACACTGCATAACTTGTCCAATTCTTTCAAATTTCGTCGGAATTTAGCCTTATTTGCTGACTCGATAACTGTTTGAGTGGCATCATTTCGTTGCAAATCTTCCCACTCTTGGCCACGCGTGGTCATGCGTTGTTTAATTTTCCTGCATCGACGTTTAATAGCTTTCTGCTTTTCTTTTGCAGCTTTACTATCATTCGCTTTGTTAGAACCAACTGGTAGTGTCACAATATCCCGTATTTGCCCGATGTTAAATCGTTGCAGTTCATCACGAGGGGGTTCACGACCATCATGCATTTTCCTGACTGCTTCCAAATGTGTTTTTCCCTTCAAGTGACTAAGTAGATAGACCTCATTCGGAATCTGACGAAACAAACATAAATTGGTTGATTTGTATTTCAAATTGTAATCGCTACGAGGTTTAACCCTGCAGTAGATTTACCAGGGTGTTGCAAAGGGAACACTGCTTCTGTGTAGGATACGACTTCAAAGTAGGTGGCACTTCTTCCGATCGTAAAATTGAAGATTCCACCGCTCTTTGGCGAATATGCTCAATGTTTTCCCCGTGTCTTCGAGCCGATTCTTGTTGTTTCTGCGCTATCTTCTTCTGCAATTCTTCTTGGTTCGCCAACTGAGCAGCATGCAGCGCGGATAAGCGCTCTTCGCGGTCTCTGGCTTTCTCCCTCGCGAGCTCCTGCACATTGGAAATTTCTTTATAAATTCTTAAAACACAGCCAAAGTTGCCGTATAAATACAACATTTATTACCTGGCGTTCCTTTTCTCTTTCGAGCTGCATCTTTCCAATCCTTTCCTCGCGCTCACGCCGGGCTTGCCGCATTTTTTGAATACGTAATTGCCTCTCTGCTTCAAGAGCTCGTCGACGCTCTTCCGCTGCGGCTTCCTTGGCTGCTTTTTCTTCTTGTCGTCGCTGTCGTTCATCGTGGATACCCTGAACAATTAATAAGCACGTAATGCACCACATCGAATCATCAACAAAAAGTCGCAAATTATGCAGAGGCTTTTATCGTAAAGAAATTGTACCTGTAGCCTTTCCTCCTGCTCTTGACAAAGAGCCATAAAATCGTGCCGTTTGTTTTGAGCCTCCAATTCATTTATAAAAGCTATCTCTTTTAATTTCGAATCTTCATCGTGTGCCTTCCTCACGACCTCTAGCAAGTGCTGTGTCCTGTTCTCTTCTGCTCTTTTCAATTTCATTTCCATCCTGATCCTTTTATCTTCTATCAATTGATTCTTAGCACTCTTGACATCCTCGACTTTGTTGAGTAAATCTCTTAACCGTTGCGACTTTTCCATCAATAACTTTTGACGTTTGTGTTGTGCACACGCTTGCTTTGCTTGATATCGTCGCAAAGTCTCGGGTAGTGATCTTTTTCGGGACGGAGAGGAGAGCTTCTGATGTAGTTCCAATGCTCGACCAGGATGTCGAGCTACTAATGCTTGCAGTTGAGCGAGAGTATCCATGCGTTCGGCCCATGACATTCCTTCGAGCATATTTTCATATCTAAACATAAGATAACACAGTAATATATTTAATCATTTTTAGTACATTTTGTACGTTAAATAAAATTACAGTAAGTGTCTAGAGAATTATACCTATCTTCTAAGCTAATGTCATCGGTAACAACACTTAGTGGTTCGAGTGGTTGATGTTCCTCGATCTCTAATACCAGTTCACCATCTGTCTCATCAGTTTCTGTATCTATATCGATGTCAGCACATTCCAATTCCATGATTTGCCTTTGAAGAAATGCTTCTTCGTCTGAGAGTTGTTGAGATCTCTGTGAATCTGCTTCTTCCGTTTTTCTTTCTTCTTCTAAGATGATACGTTCCCTTTCTGCTTGTGCTGTCATAAATTGTTGTATTCGTTTTTCTAACAATTCTGCCTCAGTTTTAAAAACTGCAGCAATCATAGACGTTGAATTAGTCTCCAACAAATTTCGAGCAATTTTTCTACCTGCCTCGTTTTCAAATTCCTCAATACTATTAGTCTCAGAATCTATTTTAACTTTTTCAACTTCGTTATTCATATTTTTCCCTGCCTTACTAGCGACACACATTTTCGATCTCTGATTACCATCTGGTGTAAGGCAATTCTTTTTACTCCTTTCATTCGGACTCTTTATGGATAGAGCTGGAAGTGATATAGCAGTGCTGGGTTTATGAAAGCGTGTACTCATATTTAGGTTGTGACTGCTTCCTCTCCTATATCGACTACGAACCGTCTGCCAACCATCACCTTCATCCTTCGGTTTCGTATTAACAGCTTGCTTTGTCAGAACTTCAACTGAGCCACTTAAATCTTTACTCTGATCAGTCCTTGAACCTTGTTTATCCATATCCTAAAAAAAATCGTTGCCTGAATAAATACAACATTCAAGATATCATTTTAAACTTAGAGCAAATGAAATAAATTTAGCTTTTTTGAAAACATACCTTGTTGACGGTAGAGAGTTCCAGTTTTCGTCTCATCATAACAGACGTCCCAGGCTTAATTGTGTTCATTAGTGGACCCTCCGACACTCCTAGCGTGGTCTTACTTCTGATAATTTTTGGAACCTCCAGAATAGTCTGAGGTGTTTGAGCTGTAGCTGGTCTTCCCCTAGAAACTGTGGAGTATGCTGGACGAGTCAATGGTTTTTGACATTCCTTGCTTGTAACATTATCAACTGTAGCCTTGTTTAATGTAGATTTGGTTATCAATTTATTATCTACTCCATTTCGCACATCTACTTTGAATTGTTTTTTTGGAGTTGAAACAATTTTACTTCTTTTCATGATTTGTATTGCATTCTCTTTGCCATTAGCTTTTTCTATATTCTTATTTTGAGTAGTTTTATTTATTACTGAACTATCAATCTTCGTGTCGTTCAATTCTTTAATAGTCTTATCTTTTGATTCGCTAATCATTAGTAAGTTAACCGATGTATTTATTTCATTATTCACAGTTTCCAAATATGTCTCCTCCATGTGGATATCGCTTTCTTTCTGAATTTCTGAACATTTGTTAAAATGCATTTCATTCACACTATCATTGATACTATCATTTGTTCTTGATTTTTCTTTGTTGTTAATATGTAGGTGATCTGGATTCTTTAATTGCATCACATCGGCATGCTTTAATATTTTCATGTCCTCATCGCTTTTACACTGTTTTATTGAATTTGTAGAATTAGTCTTAGTTTTACATAAAATTAACTGATCTGACTCGTTAATGCCCAACTGATTTTCTTCTACTTTCCCACTCGATGGAGATTTTGTTATGGTCTTACACATTACTTTAGTTGATATAGATTTTACCCTTTTTTGTACAGGATTTATTTCTTTGTTTATCAAAATCTTACTTTCATCTCTAATACCTTTGGTACAATTTTTAGATACGCTGTTCTTATTATCTTTTACAGTTTTATACCCAGACTCTTCTTTTAGTACGTTCATTTTATTATCGCCACTGATAGGTGTATCTTCTACTATTGTCATATCAATTGGACTTCCACATGTAGGTCCTGTTGGACTCATTCTTTGCAAAGGACTAGTTGATTTGGGGACAGTGGATGAATTCCACATGCGACATGGAGAGGTTTTTCTAACTTCCCAGGCAAGAGGTGTACGCCTCAGTGGTGGCGGAGAACTTTCATACGCCCATTTGACTTTAAACCATTCAATCAAACTGTGGAAATCACGAGTATAATTTTCCAAAACAAGAATGACTTCTTTACATTCCGAAATGTTCTCATCTTCTTCACAGGTTTGATAAATTCCATCTACGGCTCTTTGTAAATTTCCAAATAGAAAAGCCCAGTAACGAGCTTGTAATTCTGAAAATTTGAATACTCACTGTAATTTTTCCTGATCAGCTAACATTTAAAAGGCAAACATTTAATCATTAAATTATATAACATTCTTACCAGACTTTCGATCCCTTCCTGTGGAAGCAGATCTTACTCGCGCCGTTGATTTTATCGATCTCTTCATTGGGGATGACTGGGCAACTCTAGGGATACTTGGAGGTTTCCGAGTTACTTTTTCAATGTTATTAGTGCTCACTGGCACATTAAAAGCTACAAGATTTCTTGCAGCACGACCCTCTTCTTGGATAAGTAATCGAACATCAGCCATTTTCTCCGTACTCTGAAATTTATTGTCATTGCTTAGCAGGATTACACTTACAATACAAAATACCATTCATTTTATATTACATAATAAATCTGTAATCTTTTTAAATATACTGATTATTAACACTTATATCTACTAACTTTTCATAGATTGAAATAATATCATTACACGTATTCATTACAAAATCCGCCCTACAATTGAATATTGAAAATGACAGTTACATGTGAGGTTATCATCTTGACGGATGTCACCTAGAAAGTGATCTAGAAAATAAACCACGTCAAGACCTTTAAATTATAAAAGAACATTTGATTTCTATAATTTAATGACAATTCGCCTTGAATTGAGTCAGTTTTCGAAATGTTATTGCTAAAATAAACAGCATTACAAATTTATAGAAATGACATAACTTAATTGTGCTAAATGCACGAATATACTTACCACATGCAATTATGATGCTTACAATAAACTTTGTAAGAACGGCTGTTTACGGGCCGCATGTAAATCAAATAACGTAATAACAAACATTTCGAGACAACGTTTAATAATTGAACGACAAATACCAGATATGAGTTAGGAGATTGCTCACGGACAGGGTCGCGCAATCGCGGACTGTGCTGCCCCCGGTGGAAGATGTGGACGGCTAACACACTTGCCACCTGATACTTCCCAATGGCGGCCCAATTCAGGGATCCTCCTCATCTCTGCTCCCAACTCATCTCTGTGACAACAAACGTCGTTTAACATCGTTTAACATCTTTTAACATCTCTTACCAACAAATCCAGCAAGATCTGCAGCGATGATGACTTGAAAAAAAAAATAGATCTTGTTGTGATCCACCGAAACCTGGAAAGGGGCACAAAAAAACAGGCAAAACAGAACATTCAAAAAAATCCAGGAAGTCTGATTAGACAGCGAATAAGTTACTAAAAATTCGGCCCGATCTCGCTCAATCCGGGAGCTGGATCGCGGCCAGGGGTCGCGATATATAGGAGTAACTCATTTCTGGCTGAATTGCGCCGCCACTGAGTGGTAACAGGTGGCATGTACATTAGCCACCCACACCAGCCACCAGGGGACAGCATAGGATGCGATCGCGCGATCCTGTCCGTGAGCAATCTCCCAACTCATCTCTGCTCTCATCTTCTCTCTGGCAAATACAATCAGAGATGAGTTGGGAGATTGCTCACGGGCAGGGTCGCGCGATCGCACC